ATTTTTGAGCATAACTTACAATTTCTGAGTTTTGATGATTTTTCCCAAAATTGGCCACGAGGCGCAGCAAGTTGCGGGACTAGGTGACTTGCACCATATACTCAAAATGTTTCTTTTCAACAGTGTGCTGCCTTGACATGTAAATATATATTTATAATAATATTGATATTATTACTGATTACGAAAAGCAAATACCAATTATTCACCATCTTGATGAGGATCTTATAATTACCTAGAAAAGATTTGCTCCACGTTTCGATTTCAATTAAAATACTTGTATAAATAAAAGATATATCAATGCAAATTAAAAAAAAGTACTTCTGGTCAGTTATTAACACGTCTTCAGGCAGGTACCAAACAACAACATGTCATTGTTAAAAAATAAATTGTTTACCAAAAAAAAAAAACCCCCAATCCCAATAATGGTGTTTGTTGATCATTTTATTAGCAGCAAGGTGGCATATTGTTAATAATTTGAGAAGAAAATTAAAAGATATTGCAAAATAACAAAATAGAGGTATCAGAGTGCTATATAATAAGATAGATTGGAAATAAAAGAAATGATAGGATAAAGTGTGTATTAAAATTTATTTGTAGTGCTGGTGAAAATTAATCTGCATGAATAATTTTATAATTTTAGCCAAAAAAAAAAATTAGGAAATTTTTGGAAAAATGTTCTATTGGTTGCTTTACTTTTGGACTTTCATTTAATAAAAAGTACAAAAATAAAAAATAAACCAAGAAAAAAGTTAGGTTCTTTACTTTAAACAATACCAAAGTTTTAAAGACAAAAATTTCCCTAGAATTTAGCCAATCTGGCCTGCATTAAATTCAATAGTATTATTATTACAAATTCTTTACATAAATAAAACATACACCTGCTACTATATATTAGCAATAATCTACCATACATGCAATAAATGACACATTGTCCTTCCTTTTTTAATTATGCCTACAGTTCCATTTTAACATCATCTCAAACTATGTATATATCTAGCTATTCCCACAATGAAATTGTACCATCCCAACCACAACTTGCAAAAGTATTAGTTAGTACTGGATGCCAACAAATATCTGTACATACTTCCCGATGTGCATTTTCAATAATCTTGATTGGATGTGTTGTAAACCAATCATAAAATATTATTCTACCATCAGCATCTCCTGATGCTAAAAATTGACCTCCTTTATTTGATTCTAGTGAAAAATTGCATCGTATTGGATATCCATTTACATGATGAGATTCAAACCTCTTACAGATTTTTTTTAATTATTAATTAGTGAATGAAGATAATAATAAGAATATGTTAATTTTAAAAAATTTAACTACCTTTCTTTTTTCTAATTTCCAAGGTTTTTCAATACCAAAAATTGCAATATAATTTCCATTGGATTGAGCAACAAAATGATTTTGTAAAGGATGGATTCTTAATGCTGTACAAGAAAAGGCTTCTTGATAAATTTGATTTGAAATACTAGTCATCTTATATAAATTTATATTATTATTCCATGAAGAAAAACAAAATAAAATATAAAATCATAATATAACCTACTGAATCAAAATCCCATACAATTATATTCTTATCAGCCGCATTTTTAACTACATAATCTGAACATGTAAGTAATTTATTGCCATCAGGAAAAAACTCAAGATCATTAACACCTCCCCAGAATTTTTTAGTTTCTTTTATAATCTTATTGGATCGTATGTCCCATGATTTTATTCCATCTTTCATCATTCCTGAAACAAAAATATTAGTTTGGGTAGGATGAAAACGAAGACTAGTTATAATTTCTTGATGTAAAAATGACTAATAATAGAGAAATTTATTAAGAATTTATTAGAAAGAATTGGAAGGTTAATTAATAATAATAATAGTCTTAGTGTTAGTAGTATTAATAACAATTACTTGAATTGTTTTTCCTGCTTCAATATCACTCAACTTTACTATATTATCAAATCCACCTGAAAGAATATTATTATGATTGAAGTCCCATTGCACATCCTTAACTGCCCCTATCATACAAATATTTTTAAAACATTAGAAAAAATTATATTGAAATCAAATGTTCATAATACTTAAATAAAATAAATATTTATTATATACACCATTATGTTGAATTGTTTGAACACATTTTTTTGATCTAAAAACATCCCAAATTTTTATTGATCCATTCATTGATGCAGATGCCAATACTTGTCCTATAAAATATAAAATAAATAAATATGCAATTTTTAATAAGTGATAATACTATTAAATACAAAAAATAATTATTATACCAAAAGAGCCACACCATAATATTGAAGTTAAATGATAATCATCATTTTTTGTTGAAAAAGTATTAATTTTTCGTTTTGGGATTATACTAAATTGTTTCATTAATAATTCTTTATCAGGTTTTTGTGGTTTTTGCAATCGCTTTTCAATTTTATGAGGAAGATCAAGCAACAAATAAGGTTGTTTTACATTATTTTCTAAAAAAAAAAAAATGGTTTAATTGTGATACACAAATATATGAAATTATTAAGCTTTCTAATAATAGATGCCTTGTTTCAGTGATTGATCTTGATTAAGCCTGTTATTATTGCTGCTGTTGTTGTTGCTGTTATCTTCTTCTTGTTGTTGTCGTGTTATGTTTTTTTTAGAAACATATTTTCTTACATTTTTAGAAAAAGTTACAACTGGTTCTTGTTTCTTGATGTTTTTTTGAAAAATTGATTCATTGTTATTATTTGAAGAATTACCACTATTATCAACATTATCATAAATTGGACCATAAAGATTTTCTAATTTTCTTTTTCTTGGTTGATTTGTTATAGCATTGGTAGGAAATGATAAAGTTTCAGACGCATTGAATTTTAATTTTTTCTCTAAATTTGAAAATTCAAAATCAAGAACAACTTCTTTTTCACTATCACTGTCACTTTTATATGTATTATATAATTCATCCATTTTCTTAAACTATTACTATTTACTTTGTCTGCGATTAGAAGTCAACAGTCTATTTCTTGTTACACAATAATAATGGAGGAAGGACCCAGACGGTAATTATTAATTCGTAGTCCGCCGATCAACGATAGAAAAGCCCGGAATAAAAAATTCATAACCTTGGTCCAAAAACCTATATACTAAAATAAAATAATTATTATATATACTTATTATACAATAGTGATTATAAAAATATAAAAATATAATAATTTTTAAGGAATTTTATATTAGAAAAGTTAAGTTTTGGATTCTATTATTGGTTATATGAAATTTCTTGGCAGACCACGAATTAACTTTAAAATTTATAACATTTATTAATATCCACTCTTATGATAAATCTTGTCATCACATAAATAAATTCAACAAGTGCATATTATAAAAAAAAATATATTGATGTATTGTCTGTTAAAGAAAATTAGACATTATATTTGTATTCTAGTTATTATTATCTGTATGGATAAAAGATTGATCCTACAACTGTGACATCATGATCAAACCATTCCAAGAATGGTATGATCAACATAAAATGGTCAGGCTTCACTTGGTGCAAAAAAAAACAAAAATAAAAAAAAATAATGGTTTTTATTGATGGTGTAAAATATGCGTGGTATGTATTGTTTATTAATATAGCAAACAGTTTTTATAGAAGAGTATATGTAATATTAATCTAAATGTTTTTTTTTTTACTATTACTTTATTTCTTAAAAGCGCAACATGCATAAAAGGACATAGATCAACATCATGTCAACATAAAGATAGAGTTCTACTTAAAATCAAAGGAAAAGGTCGTCCTATTACTCAATGCACTCATTGTCGTGAGCTTCGTAAAACTCAAAGAGTTCATATAAAATGTAATTGTGTTGAAAGAGCAAAGAAAGGTTAGTTTAAGTTTATTTTTCACGTATGCATATTCATATATTGTTAGTTATGACAGTTGATAATTCATTAACTCTTTACTCATCACAATCCAAGTCAGATTTATCCATAAAAAGTTCTAGTAATGATTCTTTTGATTTATTAAATAAGATAAAATTAGAAGAATCATCTATAAATTTTGAAAATTTGAGTGATAGTGATAAATTAAAAGGTGAAATCAATAATTGTTTAACGGAGCTAGGCTAGATCGACTAGATAAATTTATTAAAAAAAATATATAATTTTTTTATTGAATAAATTTTTTTTCTTTTATAGTACATTCATTATTAAATCCGTGCAATTGTTTAAGTGGTGACAGGTGTATTTGCTGTAGAGTACTTGAAGAAGAAGAAGAAGATGATGATGAAGGTGATGAAGAATCCATCTCACCAGCAGAAAATTCAAATCAAAGAAATCACAGCGTTAATAACAATGTTGATTATAAAGATGACAATTCACTTGCAAATACTTCTTCTTTTTCATGGAATATTAATAACCACCATAGCAGTAACTTGACAATTAAATCAGAATCAATGGAATCTACTTCTTCATATTATAACATTCCCAAACAAAACTTACAAGTCAATGCAATAGAAGGTGATTCGCTTGCTCAAAACGCAAATCAAAAATATTCTAACAAAATGGAAGAGTATGATGAAAAATCAGGAGACTTAAGTGGCGTTTTAGGAGCTGAATTATGTCGTGGCACATCTGACGAGTTGGTTAATATGATTTATAGTTCATTTAAAAGTTGTCCTTCGGCTAATAAAAATGGAAATTGCTGTGGTTCTAGCTCAAAGTCAATCTGTAGATGTGGCAGTGGATGTAAATGTGAAGGATGTAATTCACATACATTAAGAGTTGATGCGAATTCTCAAGTACAACCTAATCTATCAATACCCAAGTCATGTTGTAGTACAGCTCATATTATTTCAAAACCTAAACATACAGTAATAATAGATGAAGATGGAGTTCCTTTATGTGGGTGTGGTTGCAAAAAGCCAAATTCTGAATGCTCTGATTGTGTTGAAAATTTATGCGAAGGTAAATTTTTTCAATAATATATTTTATATAAATTTTTTAATAATTTAACATGATTTTGTTTTTAATAGAATATTTGTTAAAACAACAACCAATTTAAAATATATCTATGTTATTACGTATATTCCATTCCAACATATATTATAGTTATTTTTATTTTTATTTTTTAATTAAAGGAAAATTATTAATCTACTAAATAATTGTTATGTTATCGTTTCCATTATGATTTATTATCAATGATTATATAACATTAGTGGAATTAGTAATAAAGTGAACAAAAATTTCAAAATTTCAAGATTAAACAATCAGTGATATTTTGTTCCTTGTTCTATAATAACATTCTCCCTCCATCTTATTTTTTATACATTTGCGAGGGAAAATAGGCAAAGATTATCACTAATAAATTCATTGAACTTGCTATTTAAATATTCACTGGACATAATAAAAAGTGCTGATTATTTCAATTTCTAAAACTCAACAAATAAATAATAAGCTGGACATCTTACAAACGTTAAAGTATGATAATCAGAATGGGAAGTAATTAGCAGAAGCACAAGCAAGAATAAACTAATTAGAACGATTATCAAGTCATACTCAAAACAAAATCCATGGTCAGGATTATTTATTTTAAACTTTGAGAAAAAAGAAATCCTGAGAAATAATTGAAAGATAATTATAACTTATTGACTTATTATAAAGAAAGCAAATCCAATATCCCATTATTTTGCTGGACGATTTAGAAAAAGAAAAGAATAAAACAAATTCAAGCAGGTTTAATTAAGCTTTTTAAGAAAGTTGAGGATTGGAGAAAATTTTACCAACTCTTACTTTATGAAGAAATAGGCTTAGCACATATCACATTTTTGTTGCTGTGAATTAAAAGATGCAGTGATTTAAAAGAGTTGAAAGGCTATATATATACTTCAGGAGAAAAAACGCAAATCCTGCAACCAAAAGAAATAGTATGCAAAAAATTTATAATTTTAAAAAATTTGAAATCGACAGTTAATGTTTTAGATTCAAGAAAAATGGATGCCATAAAATTATTGAAGAACGCAATGAAATAAATGCATATGGATTTAATAATGAGGGTAATTTTCATCCTTTGGGTATTTGTGAAAATGACCATATGGTTGAATTGGACCCAGGTTGAAAGAATTTATTTACAGCAGTGAATGGAGAAGATAAGAAGAATATGATTTATTGCTCAACAAAGGAACGGTATTCTCAAGCTGGATTCATAAGAGCAAGGAAAAAAGTGAGAAGTATAGATTAAGCATAATAACAGTGTGGAAATTATTTTACATAGTAGGTACTTAGCTCGTGTAACAATTCTCTAAACAGATATTCCAGCATCACCATGTGAAGCCAACACCTTGTGCCGTGGAATTCAAAAAGAGCATGCATATGTTGGAGAATATATTAAAGATATTGTTATAGGTAGCATGTGATGGAAATCATATATCAATCGTCAGAAAATATTATATGTGAAAGGATAATGAAGAAAAATAACAGGACAATGGTGGCATCCGGAGATGGGCGATTTTCTAATAATTCTAGAGGTCATGCGTCGAGACCAGTAAAAATGATTGTATCAAGAATTGAAGAAGAGGTGTAGAGCGAGGATGATCGATGAATTTTGGACAAGTAAGATTTGTTCTTTGTGTGATTGGTGGTTTGATTAACGTCAGAAATCCTGGTCATTCCGAGTATGTAAGGATATATGTCTGGTTTGCTATTAGAAACTTTATATTGATATTTTCTGATTTCTTATAGTATGCACATAGACTCACTGGAATCGTGACGTAAACGCCGCTCGAATATAAGAAATATTTTCTTGTCCATAAACTCTACTGGTGGACGGGTGCCAATACCATTTAGAAGAGAAATTTGGGTTCAATGAATAACCTCCCTTTAGTTTATCCATGCCATTGGGGGATGCGAGTTTTTGCAGTAGTTATATTCGTTAACAACAATGTGATTGTATTGATTTAATATATACAAAATTTTTTATATAAAATTAATTTTTTTATAATATACAAATATTATTAATATAACAGCTTACAATATTTAAAAATAAACAAACACTAAATATATATTATATGCAAAACATTTAATGTGACGATGAATTTTTAATTAAAATATGATGCATGTATGTGATTTGGTAAAAGAGTAATGAGTAGTGAATAATAAATAATAGAAAAAGGATCAAGAAGACCTTAATGAATGTAAAGATTGTGGTGATTGTTCAATATATATTTCATCTTCATCTTCGACTGCTTTTTTAAGTTGATGTTGCAATTTATTATTTTTATAATTCTCTATCTCTTTGTTAATTGCATTAATCAATTGCTATCAAAGTATCAAATAATGATTATTAATATTTATATTTATATCAATTATATAGATTAAGTTAAAGTAAAAATAAAATAACTTACAGTTTCGTTTATCGGCTTAGTTAAAAACGCATCCATACCAACTTCTGTAGATTTTTTAACATCACTACCAAAACTATTAGCTGTCAAGGCTAATATAGGTATATCGATACCATTATCTCTTAATAGTTTTGTTGCTTCATATCCATTCATCACAGGTGTTATAATATCCATTAGTATACAACAATAGCCTATATCATCAGCATTATAAATCACTTTGTTATCATTGTTACCATCGTCATTCCAAAACTTATCACCATTATCAACCTTAACATTGTCAGTGCCACTAACTTCAACTGATATTTCATCGTTATTTGGTTTTTGTTTTTGTTTTTGTGGATGTAATAATTGTTGTTTTATAATAGATTTTTTTACCATTTCTATAGCTTCTTTACCGTGATTTGCTAATTCAACCGTAAAATTATTTCTCAGTAACATTTTCGAGGTGACTCTCTGACAAACTAAATTGTCTTCTACCAATAAAACATTTAATGGTTTTTCATGCGATGATGATGCCGCCGGTGGTAATGAATGGTGCGATGATTGTTTTAACGAAGATCTGGATTTGGATTCGGATTTGGATTTGGATTCGGATTCGGATGACGAAGATTTCTCGTCTTTATTATTATTATTGATATCACCATCATCATCATTAACGCTACCATCACCATCAGTATTGTTTTGAGCCACTTGCGCCAAATAGGCGGACATAATCAATGACGGTGGTCTAGGTGCATGTGATGATGGTGGAGGTGTATGAGGCGCGTTTGATGATGGTGAATTTTCTTTGTTTGTTATGGATATTGTATTGGGAAGCGTTATGTGTAATGGATGATTTGATGACGATCGTGGTGAATTGACATTATTACTTGATTTATTATCATCAGCATTGACTATATCAAACGATGAAGTAGTAGAATGATGTTTTAATAATATGGTATTATCGCCATCATTATTATGATTTGAGGTTATTTTTGATGATGATGGTGAAGATGATATAATAGGTAAATACATACTTTGTTGTTGCGGCGAAGAATGATAGTCTTCTTGTAAGTCATCATTTATGGAATCATTATTATTTAAAACTAGCTCCTCTTGTCCGTCATTATCACCAGAATAATAGGTTACGATTGGAGGTAAACCAGGCGATAAGTTTGAAGAATTAATATTAGCGTTTTCAATTAAAGAATTTGTTGTTGTTACTGATATTTCATTATTAGTTTGAATATGATTATGTATTATATCATCATTCGTTATTGGCAAATGTAAATTGTTGTTGTTATCATTATTATTATTTATTGTTATTATTGTTGAAGATGACCCACCAGAACCTAACGCATTATTACTTTTATTATTTACTGCATCTTTTAGCTTATTATTATTACTATTATTATCTTTCATAATTGATTTATTTGCATCTTTTGACGATTTATTACCTAATACTGCCAACATTATTGAACCTTTCCTAATAAAAGTGTTATTTTTACTAATACTACTACTAATACCGCTATCTTTATTATTATTTATCGAATTAGATTGTTGTTTATTAATACTACGGACATCATCATCTGATTCTTCACCACTTGTTGTCATTTTTGATTGCTTTGAGTTTATTTTATGAGGTGCATTTTTATAAGATTTATGGCTACGTTTAGGCATTGCAATTGACATGCTTTTAGAACTTCTTAATTGTGCTTTATTATCAGAATCAATTGTGTCCACTTCTAATACATAATTAAGATTTCTACCATCAGTTGAACTGGGAGCGCTACCAAATTTACTGTTAAATAATACGTAACCAAGTCCATCGCCACCACCACTAGATCCATTTCTACTAATATTTGTATCAAATGATTCTCTGATTGAATATTTTGCATCTTCAGTTAATATCCATATGTCAAACCAAACTCTACTAGCATGTTGAGTAGATTTTGTGATTTTATCAACCGTTAATCTACCACCCATAACCTTAATAATAGCTTGAGCTAATGCCATTGATAAACCTTGAGCATGAAACCTTGACCCAATACTTGAATTTGTTTTCGAGTAAGGTTTAAACAATTCCGAAATTTCCTCGTCTGTACGAAATCCTTTGCTATGATCTTTTACAGAAACTCTTGTTAGAACACCTTTTGATTTACTTTGTTTTAATACCTGTAACTCTAATTCGATAACACTGCCCTCCGGTGAAACTTCAATTGATCTGGCCAACAGTTTATTTAACACTTGTTCTAATCGATGCGGATCGCTATATAATTTTTTCGGGAGATCACTATGTATGATGGTCTTCAGGTTAATCCTTTTACTTGAGGCCTCAATTGATTGGATTTTAGCAATATTTTGAATTAACAAATAAGGATCCATTTCTTCAGATTTTAATTCTATTTCGTAAGGAGAAGGATTTGTCAGATGAGTTAAATCAAGCACATCGTTTACTATGAAATTCAAAAATTTTCCTGCTGCCGTGATATAATCTAATTCTTCGTATTGATTTTTTAAAGACTTTTGTAACATATCTACGAAACCTAATATGGCGTGAGCTGGATTACGAATTTCGTGACATAAGAAAAATAAGAATTCGGTTTTAGATTGATTTGCCAGATCAGCCTCATTTTTTGCTTCGATTACAGCCCTTTCATTTTCTTTTTTGAAAGTGACATCTCTAAACATTACAACTTGAGTGAAATAATTTTTTTCAACAACAGGTTGGGAAAAGTTTGCTTCGGATTCAAAAGTGGTACCATCCTTTCTTCTTGCAAATACATCTTTCATACCAGGTCTGACAGCCACTTCCGATTGATTTGAATCTCTTGTTAAGCCAATACCATTATTATTATCATCAAAAATTGGAGGAGTATCAGGATGAGGTAATAGTAAATGACTTATATGCATTTTATTTTCAACTTTGATGTCGTCAGGAGAATAACCGGTCAATTTTAAAGCATGTTTGTTTGCGCCAACTATTTCACCTTTTGAATTCAAGGCAACCAAAGGGTCAGCTATCGCTTCTAATACAGCCTTACTATCAGCAGTCATTGCTTTGAGTAAACTTTGAGTTCTGCCTAATTTTTGAGTTTGAATGTTAGCCATATCCCTGGTGTATAAATATTTTTTAAAGTATTTAGAAGTTAATAAACCTAAAAAACCAAAAAAAATTATGAAAATGACCAAGGAAATAGAAGGAATAACATGGGGAATTGCCGATTGGTATAAAGATTCCGAGACATAACATTCAAATTTCCAAGCTCTGTCCAAAACTTGGTGCTCAGAAACAAAAGGAGGTTGAGCACGATATATTGTTTGATTTGATTGTAATCTGGAATCAAATAAGACAGAATCGTCATCATCGTGATCTAATATTCGAAGAGCAACGCCAACATCATTTAATTGGTTCAAAATATTTGCAAAATTTGTGTCAATATCATAGATGCCAAATATAACGCCATCAACATCTGAGTCAGGTGGGTTATTTTTGCTAAATGCATTTGCATAAAAAGGAAAAAATACAAAAATTCCTCCGATGCTCGCGTTACTAGCTAATGGTAACTTATTAGTTAAAGTCATGTTTTTTGTTTCTCTTGCTTTTGTAATAGATGAAGCACGCTTAGACTCTGAAAAGATATCATAATAAGTTGCGCGTGGTATAGGATATGAATATTGAATAGGAAAATATTCAGAAGCATTTCCACGATATACGAATTCACCGTTAGCATTTAATTCATTTATCGGTCCATTATCTTTTTCCCAAAGTAATCGCTTATCATTTTCTATACGCGGAGCAAAATTTATAGACCTTATATTCTGTATATATGTATATATATGTATATATATATAAATAATTTTAAAACAAATAATTAGAAGTTTCTTCATTAAGAAAATAAAAACTTAATTAAAATTAATTATAAAAATATTTAATAAAATAAATTAATCATTCATCTAATAACTACAATTTTTGTTTTTTTTTTTTTTTCTAAAAATAAATTCAGATGTCTCCAAAATAATATGAAAGAAATTAAAAAAAAAAAACTTTAAATTTATAATTACCGAATCATCAAATGAAGATAAATCCCCAAAACGATTTACAGCTGTAATATTAATATTTGTAGCAACAGTGACGAAGGCTAGAAAATCTCTTGTTATATCCAAACTATTAATAAAACCATTGATTATAGCTTTCATACGTTCATCACAATTATATAAAATTGAGTCATCGAAATTCTGTTTTTGGTTTTTTATCAATACAAAATAGGTAACTAAACCAAGTAATATTCCTATTAGAAATATTATTGATGGTACTAATATTGTGTAAATCGAATGATTTGTTGGATTAAATTGTCTGCAACAAACATTTCCTATTCTATGAAGTGAAGAATTATCATTAATAAAGATATTTCTATAATATGTGTTTTTTGAACCAGGAAATTTGTTACGAGTGAGAGATTCTTTCTTATTATTTTTGTTAATTTCATAATTTGACAAATTGTTTGTATCGTAAAGATGTATGAAATCAGTTCTAGCTTCAGAAAAAACATCTGAGGTACGTGGTTGTCTATTAAAATCATCATAATTAGACGGTGATTGTATATTTGTCGTTGCAGAAGCTGTTGTAGTATTATTAGTATTAATATTAGTTGTGGTAGATGTAGATATGGCTGTGGCAAAATTAACATTATTGTTATTATCTTTATCATTATTAACTATTGTAATTGCTGTTGATAATTTTTCAGAAAGATCTTGTTGATTATATGCGTTATCGTCGTCATCATCGCCATCATTTTTAATTGATTTTTCAATTATTTGTTGTGTATTTGATGAGGAATCTAATTTACTAATCGCAGGAGAAGAATTATTAATAATATCGTTGTTATTGTTTTCGTTCATTATTTGTCTTAAACCAGGAAAGATGCCACTTAAAATATGAGGAATGCTTCGTTGAGAACGACCACTACTAGCAGTGTCTTTTTTTAAAAGCCAATTAGAATTTGGCATATAATCTAATTATTATGTGTATAATTAATTTTTCTATCTTATTTTAAAAAAGAATTAAAAAACGATAAATTAACGCACTGAATTTCACACTGAAATTTTTTTTTTCTAAAATAAAAAAGGAAATAGGGAATTTCATTCATTTTATTTTTATATATATAGCGTTAGTATTAGAAAAAAGGGAGTTATATATATATAGACATTGTGCTACAAAAAGATTACAGGGGCCAAAATTTGATATGCTGCTCACAATCAACTTCCTAGAGTACAAATGTCCAATTGCAAATCCAATATTTCCAAGTATTATGAGTTTCAATGCATTGCGTTTATTATTTTCTCAGTGGGAAGATGTAAAATGCCTTATAAAAACAACGTCGAAATCAGTCCAAGAGACAAAGTTTTCGTGTCAACTTCGAGCCCACGTGAATGCCAGTTGTGATATTTTAGAGATCGTGGGAGATGTAATATAGATCAAAGGCATATAGTTTGCTATATGTTCTTGTCTTAAAGTCTTTGCATGTTAAATTTTGTTATTTGGATCAATGATAAATATATTTGTTTTATCGATGCACATCATTTGTAATGAAATGCGAAAGAAGAGCAAATTTTATATATATGTGAGAAAAATACAAATTGCACAATCCCCATATATTAATGGCTAGATGTATATGTTGGCGGGAGGGTTTATTTTTAAGGTATGGGTTCTGTTGCCATTTTCTTTTCCAAGCATGCTTTATTGACTTGGTTATCTCAGAGTCGGATAATGGGGCTATTGATGTTATATATTTCTAACATTATTTTGATCAATTGCTTGTAAAATTTAGAATTATATATTGTTGTAAACTTGCAAGGAGAGATTTCTTCTCTCTGTTCGTGCGTGTAACAGTTAAAAATAGTAAACTGGTCCCTAAAAATTCAATCCCCTGAAAAGTTTTATGTGGAGTTATTGTACAAATAAAACGATTTTGTTTGTGTAAAGATTTTTATTAAGAAAAAAGAGCGAGGGACAAAATAGATTGAAATATTTTTGACTACAATTAGAATAGTAAATAATTGACAATGAATTAGCATTTGATTATCATTCCCCTATTTCTTTACCAAAATAATTCATTGCTTGACACAGTTGCACGAATATGATTTATGAATGGGTTTTGGCAATGTATTTATGGCTTGGTCCGAGACTATTATTACAGTTTTCTTGAAATAGTAATCTAACAAAGTTGGATGCGAATTCTTATTAACGATAGATGAAAATATACATAGCTCTGTTGTAAAGGTATTAAAATGAATATATTCCCGGAAGGAAAGCACGGGAGGACATAAAATCATAATAATAATAATTTTTTTTTTTCACCATCCTAACTTTTAATTCTTTCCTGTGGTCGGATGGATAATTAAAGATTCAATATTAAAATTTGAAGAATTCATAGTGTGTGCATGAAAAAAATTACAGCTATTTGTAACCTAATCCATTTATGTAATATTAACATCCGAAATTGTAAAGTTATAAAAAAAAAGTAGAACCGTTAAAAATTTGTCGGGTTTGTCGGGTGTAACATTATTATTTATTATCCAGTCAATTATTGATTTTCTGGAGATAATTTCTAAATTTGTACTGGTTACATGCCGAAAATTTAAAAAAAAATTTATTTTTTTTAAAAAGTGTCAAGTAATATATATAGTGGTCCATTTTAACCATATTTGGTATTGATAGGTATTTTTGCAAATCTGGTTAACCACACAATTTATTATTTATTATTAGTCGTGTGACATGTCAAATTAAAAAATTTGAAATTAATCGTGTCACATGAAGCTTTTTTAAAATATCTCGTTAATTTTATAATAAACTCGAACTTCGTTATTAGAGTAAAAATGAAAATACTCCATTAAAGCTTTCTAATGAATACCTTTTCATACTGAAAGGTCTTCTCTGCGTAAATTCACGACTATTCAAAAATGGTATTACTTTTTCATTTCAAAGCTCAGATTATTGCTTTAAAGACTTGATAGCAGTGTGTAAAATTCAGCGGGATGGTATAACGTTACGCAACCCGCGTGCATACATTTTTTAGAAATTTTTAATTTAATTGTTATAATGAATATTGTATTATCCTTCTTGTTTTTTATTTTTCCAATGCTCTAGTGCTTTTAAAAAATCAAAATTTTCAATTTGTGGTCCATTATTAAATGATCATCTAATGTGTCTACATTCATTTGTTTTCTCATATTATTTTTAATTAACTTTGTTTGAGAAATCTTCTTTCTACATGAGCATTAGAAAGGGGTATAAGAAATCCTATTCTAGCAACTAATAATATATTTGAATTATTAAAAGGAAAATCCTCATCAGTATCTAAATTGTGTTTTCACAACTGAATGTAATTGATTTCTCTATTATTATTTTATAGTACTGAAGAAAAGTTTGTTGAATTTATTCTTATTAAGTTCTCCTTTGTCAATGATTCCACTAAATTTATTTCCATTTGCAAATTTAATTTCTCCATAGAAATTACCTATAATTGCATAAGTGACAAATTTAAATTTTAGTTAATTTATTTTGTTACACCCTCCTGCTGAATTTTATACACTGCTTGATAGTAAATGAGAAGGTGTAAGATACTTTAAGCTTTCATATGGTTATTACTTTATGGTGTTGGTCAATAAATTTTAGAAAGATTCATGAAAAACTATTTTATAGAGATTTAATAGTCTTGAAAAATTTTTATGTAAATGGGATTCAGCAAAAACTAAAAGGTATTTTATTAATTATTGTTTTATATTCCTGACTTTATATTGATTAAAGTTTCATTAATGATTATTATGAATATCCATCAATCAATAGTTGTTATAGCAAAATTAAACAATAATATGCAAATGATGACAACGAATCATCTTATTAAGATCCAGTTTGTATAGGAGTGATCAAAGTAAGCATTAAGGACAAGATCTATGAACAAAACATACTAATGAACATTTTATCAATTATTCAATAGTTTGTATAGGAGTGATTGAAGTAAGTGTTAAGGACAAGATTTATGAACAAAACATATTAATGAATATTTATCAATTATTCAATAGTTTGTGTAGGAGTGACTGAAGCATTAAGGACAAGGTCTATGAACAAAACATACTAACAAACATTTTATCAATTATTCAATAGTCGTATAGGAGTGATCAAATTAAGTGTTAAGGACAAGATCTATGAAGCCTGCAAAGCAAGTTTTACATTTTATCAATAGTTATGTTTATTATTTATTTATGTATATAAATTTCTCTTTTATTTTAACTTATATTTAATAACATCACTATGATAAATAATTAAATGAATAAAGTCAGAGATAAAACACTATTTAATTTAATCATTATTGTTGCTTGTTTATTATTCTAATCTTTATTTATGTATATAGGTAAAGAAAAATTTTAAAATCTATTAAAAGACATACCTAAGTGATCAAAAGTCTGTAAATATTTTTAATTGGACATTTATTTCTGCTTATATTTACAATTGGACGAGTCAAACAAAATTTTACACATATGAATATAAAAGCAAAATTTGACTTTGAGGGTCAGATTATTTTTGGTTTTATTAACAATCTGCCTTAAATTTTCTTAAAGCAGATACATATTATAATCTCAAATTTGGTGGTGGTTGCTACACAGAAAGGGTATCAAACAAGGGTGTGAAGACATTCGATTATAAATTTTTACTATATATATATATATGTTTTACAACCTACTATAGATCAGTGGGAAATGTCGTGTGGGTACAAATTATGAATGAAAATTTTTTTAAATACTATTTTATCCACTATTACACTATCACTGACATTATTTCTAATATGAATTCCCAACTGTCATTATTAGCTAAAAAATATTTATGCATTGCAGCAACTTCTATTCCAAATGAATGTCTACAGTCACAACATACTATAATTATTGTATTCTCTGGAATATAAGCACCACCATTTTGACATGTTTTGGTCAACAAAACTGTGGGTGGTGCTTATATTCAAGACATTTTATTTCAGATAATTTGTGTTACATTTATATCGGGATGAAAATGAAAATGAGGAAGATGAATGTGAAATATTAAATAGAAATGATGATTCAGCTAATGAATTAGATGAATTAGAAGAGGAGGAGTCTGGTGACTCTGGGAAAGAATAGTCAAAATAAAAAAAATTCTTATTTTTTATTTATTATATAAAAATAAAATCAAATAAAAAATAATTTTGAAATATATGTGGTGCTTATATTTATTTTTCTATTTTTTTGTTTTTTTTCATTGCAAATTCATACTGGTGCTTATATTTGAGTGGTGCTTATATTCCAGAGAATACGGTACTTTCAACTATTTAATTATGTTATGTAATTGTTGAGATATGCAATTTTTTGTCACTGCTGTTTTTTTCTTAACACACTGTATGTTTCATTCTTGTACTTGTGGTCCCGTATAGAAATGTTGATCATTTCACTGTTTCATAGGCGGATCACTTTTTCAAATAGAAGTAATAGCTTAAAAGCAGTAACAATAGTATGAGCATGAGAATGAAGACGAAATGGTAATAAATAATAAATAATGGGATTTTTGTTTATATATTGATGATATTTTAATTCTAGTCATTGTATATACAGGCAAAAAATGTCCGTATAACGAGATATTTTTATAACGGGAGTTCATATAAATCACATGACTTGAAAAATGATTATAAAATTTTTTTAGAAATTATTAATTTATTTTAAAATCAACAATTTAGCAAAAGTTTATAATTATAATCATTAATGATTAAAAGGTTTAGAAAAACCGTTTTTAAAAATTTGCAAAAATTTTTAGTGTAAGTATTGGATAATTCATAATTCTTTTATAGACTTGTTTGAAAATGTCATTAAAAAAAAACAATTGTGAATAAATTTCTTTATTGTCAAAAATGTAAAATATTTCATCAATGTAAGTGTTTCATCATCATCAAGAAGAGATCAATCAAAAACGTAAAGATACTTTGTTACAGGGTTGGCAAATTGACTGGTCCATTGAGAACAGATGGATTTTGGACTGGTCCATTGCCATTAATAAAATACTAAATATGGTTAAAGTATTACACTAATGGACCCAATGGACCATCAATAGACCATCAATGGATCACACATTTGCCAACCCTGCTTTGTTACAATTCACAAATTAAAATCTCCCAGCTTCTGCCCCACTAAATTCTAAGTCTGAAGAAACATGTAGTACCAAATCTGCCCTTTGACCCATTTTTGATCTAGCCAATTGTTTTATACCAGGAACTGTATGACCTAAATTTTTTCTTAATGCAGATGCTAAACTAGAAGATTCTCCATGAACTTGCTCCATATTTTCAATATTTGCAAAGCATTGGTCCAAGATAGGCCCCCACAAATGGATAATTATACCATTGTTCTAAATGGTCACTCTTTAAAGATCCAGATTCATATTCCCTAATGATAGCATGCATTGCGAAATTTACCCAATCTATGTCATGATGAAGTTCACAAACATAGTTTTCTGATATTGATTCATTATCATTTGTCAATAAACGTCTAAGTTTGTGTATTTTTTATCAGAAAATTTCATAATATAATTAATGAGACCTTCTGGAAATTCTGGAAGCTCTCTTTTTTTGTAAACACAAATTTCTTCAAACTCTTCTTTTGTAATATTTTATCATTGATATAAGAATTATCATCTGGATCTAAAATAAAACTATGACACATATGTTCAGAGGTACATTTTAAACCATATTCATATAGCAAATCTTCTACAAATTTTCCGGTGGATAGTTTCCACTTGGATGTATTTTTCATTTTTCTGAAGGTACTTGTAAAAGTGCATAACCTAGCGGTGATAGTAGTAATGTAGAAATTAATTATAATCATTACCATTGTAACTAGAATGGAGTGTTGCACACAACTGCTGTGCACAGGGAGATCCCTCTCACAGCATAGTTGATTAATTTTTACTATATCTAGAATGGCAAGCTGCAATAATTGCAACTACCACATTCTTTTTAACAACTAATAAATAAAACTTACCAATTGATATCTTCATGTTCATTTTCTTTGTTTCTTTTTTTTGTATTCTTTTTGATTTTATTCATTTTTTTTGAAAGAAAAGAAGTATATATATAGAATGAAAAACAATCACAACCACCACTACTGTTCTTTAATAATTAACTAGAGCGACAGCGAGTGGTGGGTGATAATCACCACCATCCTTAAAACACTTATCCTCTAACAGCACCAATATTATCTTCTCTTCCTCTTTTATTGTTTTCTTTGGGCATGTTTATAAAAAAAAATAAAGAAAAAGAAGTTTGTGATTTGATCGACATGTACACATTAATTATTTATCCTATTGGTTTTTTTTTGATTTTTTTTTTTTTTTGGAAAAACAAAACAATTTATTTTTTGACAGAGTCCAAGGTGACAAAACATGAGCGTTGTTGTTTGGTTTGGTTTGGGTCTCCTAAAGAAAATGTGTTAATAACTAACTAGAGGTGCTTTTTTTTATTTGTATTGATATTTTTATTTTAGTTTATAAATATTTTAATTGGAATCAAAACGCGGAGCAAATCTTGCTGGGTAATTATAAGATTCTTATCAAGATGATAATAAATGATTGGTATTTTGCTTTGCATAATCATAATTATTAATATATAATTACAAGAAGATGTCAAGGCAACACAACATTTAAAAAGAAACATTTCGATATGTGATGTTTGATTATCAGAAATTTTATAGATGTTGAAGCACACACACTACCTTGAACACATTATGGTCATTCTCTCATGTCTTCCTTGTGTGCACAAAGCTAATCTGACCAGCTCCATCCTATGGATATGATGATGCAACCAATACCAGGCATCAGGAAAACGTGTTTTTTGATACACATATTATATGTATATTATACATGTATTATTTTACATTACAGGTGATCTGCATATAATATATGTATAATTCGCGTGTAATTTATGGACATGTGTATTATATGTATATTATATTTGATCACCTGTAATGTAAATAATACATGTATAATAAACATATAATATGTGTATCAAAAAACACATTTTCCTGATGCTCTGGGTGGCTTCAAAGCTTTAAGAATAGGTATATTTCTGCATTATATTAAACTAAGATTATTAACCTTATCAATAAAAAATTACCACACTTGTAGAAATAATTTGAAAAGATACCAATTACATGGAGAAAGTGGTTCAGCTGATATTAATGCAATTGAAAATGCCCTTCCTGATCTGAAAACAGTCATCAGCACCTTAAATCTGAAGATGTATATAACATGGATGAAATTGGTTTGTTCTTTTGGCAAGTATAATATTAAACTATACATACTTAAAATATTAGTAAGTTCTAATGAAATTTAATGAACATAGACTTAAACCAGATAAAACTTTAGCAACAAAACAACTTGAGGGTAAAAAAAAGGATAAACAATGCTTGACTGTTGCACTTTGCTACAATACTGATGGAACTGATAAACTAGAACCACTTATTATTGGAAAATCCTTAAAATCTTGATGTACAGGAAAAATCAATATGAACAGTCTTGGATTGTCTATAGAGCAAATGGTAAAGCATGGATGACAGCAATTTTATTTCAAGAGTAAGTAGTATACAAGTATATTCACTATTGATAGTTTACTTTATGAATTGCTTTTTATAAAGTGCTTTAACTGTAGATGGTTAAAACAATTTGATGAAAAGATGGATGGCAGAAGAGTGCTATTGCTACTTAACAATGCACCCTGTCATATAGTTAGAGGAATGGAATTGCAAAATACACAAGTTAAGTTCTTACTACCTAATTGCACATCAAAGCTTCAACCTTGTAATGCTGGAATCATTGCCTCTTTCAAAATAGGGGTCTGATTCATTTCGTCAACAATCATTTTGTTGTCGGTCATTTTGTCAACACCCATTTTGTCAAAAGTTTGTTTTGTTGAAAGTTCATTTCATTGAATGTTCATTTCATCAAAAATTATTTCGTCACAAAAAAAACTTCATTAAACAAATTTCCCCTCACACTTCCCACACACTCTGCTTTCCTCACTTAATTTCTTAACTAACTTCTCACACTCCTCACATCTAACTTGTTCGGTCTCTGGCTCAAGGATGAAATAATTTTTGACAAAATGAACATTTGATGAAACAAACTTTCAACAAAATGAACTTTCAATGAAATGAACTTTCAACAAAATGGGTGTCAATGAAATGATTGTTGACAAAATGATTGTTGACAAAATAATTTTCAACAAAGTAAACGCAACTGAAATAAGAGGTTTTCTTTTTTAAAAATGAACTCAAAAAAAGCAAAATAGACCTTAAACCAACCTAACTGATAATTTTTAATGTTTTCAAGTAAAAATTTCATCTTAGCATCTAATTCCTTTCTTTTCTCCCATCACTCTAGCTTTTGTTGTTTTGACTAGTAATCACAATCATCATATTTATGAATATTCATTAAGGAGGTTACACTTATCAAAAATCCCTTAAGGGTAGAATTCAGTTATATACACAGCACATCATGGCAAAAAAAATCACAAGACTACAATTTAAGGTTTGAACAAACAAAACTCCTTGTAAAATTGTATTGTGAAACTTAAACAAAGCTTTGTATATATACTCTCTAGGATTAAGGCTATTGAATGGTGTGTTTTTGATAAATTTTGTTAATAAAGTTTACTGAAAAGGTAATGTGAAGTTCAACATATGTCACAAATTCTATAAGTAAAATTACAAATTCTATGTTTTTGTTAAATTAAAGAAAACTAAATGAACAATCTTCAAGTTAACCTTAATAACTATCAATTGGGCATGCTGCAACAAAACCAGACAAAGTGAACATTGGTATAACTAAGAATTTCAGGGATCAAAATTTTGTCATTTGTAATGTGATCATAATTAATATCCCATTTGTTATCTTAAGTGATATATAGAACTTTCCCCCTATGTAAAAATAATTAATATGAACTAATATCAAAATAAAATAAACTTTGATAAAAACTTTGGTCACAAAGAGAAAATAGAGAAAATGAATGATTTCGATAACCATGGCTACACATCATATGTCATAAAATCAGTTTAGGAGTTTTGAAAACAGTTTAGGAGTTTTGAAAACAGTTTAGGAGTTTTGAAAATAGTTTAGGGTTTCTAAACTAGTTTAGAAAAGAGGTTAGAGTTGAAAGGCAACTCTATTATGAACATTATTCTTCTAACTTGGTCTAAAACCAAGTGTATTTATACCTCTTTGAGTATTACAACATCAGGAAAATGGGTACAAATATTATGCGTATATAATACACAATTGCAGGGATTAAGCATATAATATGCGTACAAATCACATATTTTTTTATGTATGCAAATTGTACATATATTATATGTTTAATCCCTGCAATTGTGTATTATATACGCATAATATTTGTACCCATTTTCCTGATGAAATAATATGACTTTTACAATATTTTATCCAATAAAATATATTATAACTATCTATATTGTATAACTCACTAAGCAAAGTGGCTTATTATCTTTAAGTAATACATTAATACATAAGTAGGAATATAAATACAAAGATCTACAGTATAACATTACGCAACCATTATATACAATGAATATATCATTGATCGTAATGTAATATTTAGCACATCACATGACTACCATTATAAGTTTGTTATAATTGGTCAACATTATCTGGGACAATTGGTTTGCCCACAATTTACAATCTCACGATATATAGAAGGCAATTAATAATTGAGAAAAATTTATTAAGAATTTAGTCAATAAAAAAGAATGATTTATCAGAATCTTGTGTATTATCAAAAATCATTTGGTTTATTAATCTTTAATTTATCATCAAATTTCATTCTCTGCCTATATTTATAAATAAAATAGTGTAAAATAATAAATTAAGAAACTAAAATAAAAATCGGAAATGATTACAAGTAACGTGGAGTGAAATCGGAGGTGGTCATCACAGAACTGGGAAAGCAGGGATTATGTTCTTGAGAAGTTGAAGGGCATTCAGATAAAATCTTGCATCAACAGATAATGAGAATTTATTTTTTGTGTATGTAATATATAATTTTTTTTATTGCTATAACCATATTGTCTACAAAATTGAACTTAGGTTAAAATTTATCATTAGTATTGATATGTTTTTGGGAAACCCATACATCTTTGTGGATAAGGAAGGGCAAAACAAAATTTACATCAGGAAATTAATTTAGCGTAAACTTGCATAAATCTTACGATGCCAATGTAATATTGTGTAAATCTTACAGTGCCGACGTAAGTTTTACACTTTTTTATTATTAAACTTACAATTGACACGTGTAAAATTTTTTTATATTTTCCGGATGTATCAGAAATGAAATTTATTCTTAAAATTGTGGGTCCGATTTTGACATAATTTTTCTGATATACAAGATCACATTCAGCTCAAATGGTGAGCATCCCTTTTTACTCTGAAACAGTTGTCAATTGTGGGTCTGATAATTTGTTTGTATTGATATTTTAGGGATAAGACTGTCTCTAAGGTAGCATCAGCTAGAAAGATTGATTTGCAAATCATATATAGATCAGGTAATAAAGAACTTAGCCATTTAGAAGCTTCTCGATCAGTAACACCAAATAAAGTCATTAAGGATCATATTAATAGGGATAATGGCTTATATTTTGGGTTGAGGGACCTGCATTTAGGTTCCATGCTAAGCTTGATGATATTGCTACTTTGGAGAAACTTTGGAGGTGTTATGTTTATTTAAGGTAAGAAAGAGAGCAATTGGTGTTCCTGTACATTTAATGATGATGGATGCTTATAGCAACTCCTTAAATAATAGGACAATATAAACCATAAAGCAGAAGCATTATTTAAACTTGACAATGATGATTTAAATCCATTTCACAGAATCTTTCATTCTGAAAATATTTCAACACCAAATCATCATAAGGCCAGTTTTATCAGATCAACATACTTCACCCCAAGAAAATCAAAACAAACTGTTGTTGAAGAAATAAAGGCATTGCAATCTGTTGATTTTGAATCCTGTTAATCTTGTACTTAATTTAAACATTGCATTTTCAAAATAACAATTTTAGATTATTATAATACTAATGTTTTAAAAGAATTTGTAGCATAATTCAATTGTATATTGTAGATATATACTTAAATATTATTTTTTATCATTATTAAAAGTAGTTAACAGTTCATCAGGAATTTTTAGAGATGTCAAAGTGCTGATCAACAATGGATGGGGTTGCAGAGATAATCCAGAGGGTGAATTAATCTTTCCAAAGGTAATATTATCAAATGTTGTTAAGGCTATATGGAGAACATGCAATCCACAAGGAATTCTAACTAAAGCTCTGGACGAGCCGAGCCGAGTTCATGCCAACTCGAAATTTTTTTTATAAAATCACATTTTTGCAGACCACTGAAAATAATGAAGCAATAATAAACTATAATAATTTGTATAAGTTTAGAACATTTGAATCATCATAAATAATTTTATGACAGACTAAATATTCCGAAAATTTCAAATGAGAACAATGCTTCTTAGGTTCTGGGATATATGCACAAGAAATTGCATTATACTAAAATTATTAGTCATTGTTCAATGAATTTTACGTTTTAAAAATTCATAGTAATGCGAATTTAATTATAATTTGTTGAAACGACTGTATAAATTTCACAATGTTTGCTCAGATAAAACGAAATGCAACCTGTTTAAAAAATCTTTATTATGAGCTAGAGTTCCTATTTGTAATACAAATTCTCATTCGAATAATTCAAATCATTCGTTTTATTCGCTTTATTCGAATCATTTGTTTTATTCATTTATTCAAATCGTTCGTTTTATTCATTTATTTGAATCGTTCATTTTATTCATTTATTCAAATCACTCGAACCACTCGTTTTATTCGCTTTATTCCTTAAGTTGAACAGACTCAAGTTAAAACTTGAATTTTCAAATTCGAGCTGAATTCAAGAAAATAAGCACAAATTGTTTGTTTAGGTAATGTGCATAAATAAAATTAATCATTCGTTACTTAAAAAATTTATGTGGCGCTCAAACCTGGCTCAAGCTTTAGCACGAGCTGGCTCAGCTCATTTGGAGCTTTAATTCTAACAGAATTTGTTCCTAATAGTTTGTTGAATTCTACAACAGAACCTCCTTTCGATCCAAACATGTATGCTGTGTTATCAGTGAGCCAATATTGACAGAGGGATGGATCTAAAGAATGTTTGCTAATCATATCTGAACACTAGACAAAATAATAGAAGCAGAACAGCAATCAAGGTCTTTCATGTCTAATATAGTAAGCATTGGGGGGGGTTTCTTCCCAATAAGATATGCAAGCTAAAAAATCTTTTTATCCCCTCTTATACTTTCGCCAGCCATTATTCCATATGAACTGTATTTACTGTATAATTGAGGTAGATTATAAAATAAAATTTCTGAAGATTAATCAAACTCAGCAAGAAAAAAAAAAATTGTTTCAAGCAACTTGCTTGATAAATTAATAGTTCTGACATTCAAATAATTGTTATTGATTAATTCATTCAATGAGTTGAATAACTTGTTTAATAATCTTTCTATATCTTATTTTTCTTGTATATAATTTATCATCTATGTCAATTAACTCTTTATTTAATCCATCAATTATATCATAAATAATTTTCCATTTTATTTATTGATCAATAATAATAATAGTAATTTTCATTTATATTATATCTACAATTGGCATTGATTTTTAATAATAATAAAATGGTAAAAAAATTTCAACCACATTATGGATTAAACTCAAGCTTTTGTGTTTTGTTTTTCAGGTGTTATTCATTTTTGGGTATGGGTTGATTTTTTTGTTTTTGTCAACCTAACCCTCCATAACTTTGACACTGCTCCTGTTACTCATCAAATGGTGGCACTAGAGGAAGATGGTAGTAATGCTGATATAGTCTTTATTTGTAAGGATTGTAAAAAGATTATAATAATAATGCACTTCCTTGATGTGATAATGTGATAAATTAAAGAGAAGCAGGAATAGGTTTTATTGTCACCATTTAACAATAAATAAATCTACTAATTCTCTTACTACAGAAGAGTTAATTGCTTGGTCTTTTAATTACCATCTAGAAAACAAAGCTAGAGAATTAGAAAAAAAGCTATTAATTACCAAAGAAGAATTCAAAATTGAAAGAGAGGTAGTTAATTTTTTGAAAAAATCTGAAGAATGAAGAAAAAGACAGAAACAAGAACTTTTGGATAGGAATTAGAAGCAGAAATGGAAAGATTGAAAAAACCAACTTCATGGGAACTGGTTGATAAACTAGCAACTTATTAAAAAGTAATCGAGGAGTTAAAAGCCCCAATTAATGCAATTACAACAGCAAAATGGTCAATTAGTTGCTCAAATTGAAGTTAAAAAATGACCTTGATTGAAAATAAGAAAGTAATTTAAAGAAGATTGAGGAAATATTTTCCTCTATATAAATTGAAATTCATTTCAATTGTCAAAGAAAATGATAGTTATTAAAGTTAAAGAAAATATCCCGGCTTTTGATATCTTATTGATGATAATCCAATGATAATAAAAAGGCAGTTACAGTATTACTGATAAAAATAAGATTTACATTCTTCCTGATTACGAACATAATTGTAGCACTACTCGATCTAATATTTATCATGTTAAAACTACTGTCTCTGATTTAAAAGATGAAGATTTTGCCAAAGCTGCCAAGGAATATAAAAACAATATTTCAAAGAATAAAGGAAATTATGATGTTAAATCTGATTATGAATAGCAGGTATAACTTTTTTAGGTTTTATAATTACCATGATTAAAAAAATCAAAAGAAAAAAAATAGATCAATATTGTAACAATAAAATTAAGGATTTCTGTTTTTTTTGTAGGATAACAGCACATTCATTCTGCTTTCTTTTCTTAATGTTTATGATTTTTCTTTCTTCTTGGTAAATTTCATAGGTAATCTAAATATGTTTGCAAGGATATAGTATTTACTAATTTAAAAATATAAGGCGCAATTTTTTCACCTTGTTCCTTTTTTAAAATACTTCTGATAGTACAATAATTCTTGGGTTCCATAGTAGACCTGATGTAAATGAGTTTCATATTGACTATTTTTATATAGGAATAGTTCTATATATCACTTAAGATAACAAATGAGATATTATAAAACTGTTAATTATAATCAATCACATTATAAAATAACTAAATTTTGAACCCTGAAATTCTTGGTAACACTAATGTTCACTATCTGGTTTTGTTGCAGCATGCCCCATTTGTATTATTTAATAGTTTTTTGTGATTTTGAATTTATAATTTTATAGTAAGTATTAACGTATCGGAGTGTATTCTGGTAAATTAATTTACTATATGCCCATATATTTAACACAAATGAAAAATTACCAATGAACAAGTTTCATTGAGGATTTTCAAGGAGGGTTACATAATTTACAAATACTAATACTAACACAAAATTGGTAAATATTTTTTTTTTTAATATAAAGGATAAAAAAATCTTTAATATTCAAGGTAAAAGAAAGGTTGTTTTTTTTTTCGAGAAAGATTTATTAATTTACAGTATATTCTTCAAAATTAAACCATTAAATTTATTATTATTATTATTATTCAAACTATTTGTTCTCTTTAGCATACTTTTCTCCCTTTTTTTTCATTATCATATTTTCAATTTATAGTTACAACAGTCGCAATTCAATATCCACTTCTATTCTCATCATAATAAAGTTAATATAACAATAACGATGCCATCACCACCAACAATTCAATCATTTTCCTCAAATCAAAATCTTTCTAAAGCTTTATCAAATATGATTGTGGAATTATCAAAAAAATCAATTGCCACTCGAGAAAGATTTACTATTGGCTTGTCGGGCGGTAGCCTACCGAAAATTTTATCACTAGAATTAAAAAATCGTAAAGACGATATTGAATGGGATAAATGGCAAGTGTTTTTCTGTGATGAAAGGTAAAAAAACAAATTAATTAAAATTAAATCATTAGTAATAATTTAATTGAAAGAATTAATTAATTATTAATGAATTTATTTGTTTTTAAAGACTTGTGGCATTAGATCATCCTGATTCAAATTATTTACTCTGTAAAAATGAATTGTTTGATCATGTACCGATTCCTAATCAAAACATACATGTGATCAATGAAGAAATGGTTCTGGATATTGATAAAATAGTCGTAGAAATGGAAACAAGCTCCATAGATGATGACAATAAAATCAAAAATGATACTACCGAAGATGGAAAATCATCATTTCACTCTAAATTAGATCAACTAAAACAAAAGCTAGAAGAACTTTTGACAGAAGAAGTTGATGATTACGAGAAACAATTAATTGATGTGTTTGCCGGTCTCAACTCGGTGAAGTTTCCTGTATTCGATCTACTTTTGTTAGGCATAGGTCCTGATGGTCATACCTGTTCGTTATTTCCAAATCGTCCAGAACTTGAGGAAACGAGTCTTTGGGTAACTCATATTGAAGATTCGCCAAAACCTCCACCTAGGCGTATAACCTTCACTCTGCCTGTTATCAACCATGCACATAATGTCATATTTGTAGCAACCGGTAAGGGTAAACAAGATATTTTATGTGATATATTAAAAAATACCAATAATAAAAATTTACCTGCTACTTTTGTAAAACCTGTTAATGGTAACTTATATTGGTTTTTGGATGACGAAGCTTCTGCTAAACTTGTATTAGATAATGTTTAGTACATTAAATTTGTTTTTTTGCAAAAAATTTTTTTTAAAATTATATCAATATATGTATATTTGTTTATCATCATCATTATTATTATTTGTATATTTTTTTCTTATATCATATAAATTAATTAGCAAATAAAATTTTTTTAAGTAATTTTACATAGTTTCATTAGAATAGTGGCCGTAATGTTTTGATCGCAAGATAAATCAAAACCTTGTTATATAGTAAAGGAGATACAGTAGATTAGTGGAAATTTTTTTTAAATTAATTGCCAGTCATGATGATTAT